CGATCTGTTTGCAGTTACTGGTATGCTCTTGTAAGAAGTTATTGTATATTATTATTTATAGTTTCTCTTTAAGTTGTGTTTTCTATTTATTTTATTTTTATTTTATGATGGCCAAATCACTGTAATAAAGAATTGATTGATTCCTCCTAATTTGGTGTCATCTGCAAATCTGAGAAGCATGCCCCCTATTCTTTCATCCAAGTCATTGATAAAGATGTTGAATAGCACTGGGCCCAGGACAGAACCCTGTGGCACCCCACTGGTCACTTCTCTCTAGGATAAGGAGTAGCCATTGCTGAGCACCCTTTGGGTTCAGTCAGTCAACCAGTTACTAATTCACCTACCAGTTGTAGTGTATTGTCTAGCCCATATCCACCTACCAGTTGTATTGTCTAGCCCACATAAGCTTGACTTCTTTGATGCTGCCATTTTTCTTCAGTTCCACTGCACTGCTTTCCTTTCCTGAGGATTCTAAATTGTCATGGAATCTTGTCAGTGGGAATCAGCAGGAATGGTAGTGGGTTAAGCAACTTATTCTAACAGAATCATAGTTTGATGGGAACCCTAAAGTCATCTATCACTGTCAATGCCTGCATCATTGCCAGTGCAGATATTCATAGCTAAAGCATCCCTGATAGGTGGCTATCCATTCTCTGAAGGAGAATCCGGCATCTCCTGAGATAGTCTATTCTACTGTCAAACAGCTCTAATCACAAAGAAGTTGGTTTTTGTGAGCTTTTTCGGGCTGTGAGGCCGTGTTCTAGAAGAATGTATTTCTGATGTTTTGCCTGCATCTGTGGCTTGATTCTCTGACAATGCCAACCACAGGTGTAGGTGAAACATCAGGAATACATTCTTCTAGAACACAGCCTCACAGCCCGAAAAAGCCCACAAAAGCCTATGGATGCCAGCCATGAAAGCCTTCGACTTCATATCAAGAAGTTCTTTTTCTTTTTCCTCTTGATATTTCTCCACCTCAAATTACAGATTGTTTTAGAAATAATTGGCTTTTCATGTATATATTTGTGTGTAAATAACTGTTTATTCCTGATCTTATTTCATCAGCAGCTCATATGTGAAGGCCATGTGGAAAATCAAATGAAACTTCATAAACACAGCTTGTCATTACTCACAGGAACTATCAGGTTTTCTGCATACCAATTTAATTGGTTCCTTGCTCCTTTTTTTATGCTCTGATATTTTTTCTTATTATTATATATTTTATTATAATAAAGCTAGTTTAACTCACCATCATTTTAATTTTGATTTTATACCAATTTCTATCACCAGTTTAGCAATAATAAATATTATAGAGTGTCTTAATAGTCATTATTATCTATATTTCAGTGTTTTCACTAATAAAAGTTGCTTCAAAACCTTTAAAAAACAGAATAAAAGAGAGAAGAGAATGACTGAAAGAAATACATCTATTTAATAAAATTTTGAACAAAGAAAAGAGAAAAATCAGCATAAATAAAAGATTATAGGAAGAAAATATTAACCCTATGTTATTAGAGAGTCAATGTGGCATAGTGGTTTGAGCATTAGACAATGACTCTGGAGACCAGGATTCAATTCCCTGTTCAGCCATGAAACCCACAGGGTGGCCTTGGGCAAGTCACATACTCTCAGTCTCAGGGGAAGGCAATGACATCCCCCCCCCCCCCAACAAATCTTACCAAGAAAATCCCATGATAGGTTCACCTTAGGGTTGTCATAAACTGGAAATGACTTGAAGGCATATCACACCAACAACAACATTAAACTATGGATAAATTGTATATGACATTTTCATTCCAATTATTTTAAAATAATGTCTATTGCTCTATAAATCTGTTTTCCTTCTGCAATTGTTCCTGCCTCCTATATGTTAATCCTGTCAACCATATTCCATATTTTCTCCAACCAGATTTTGAATAAAAGTTCTTTCCTTTTCCATAATTTAGCAATACATTTTTCCTGTACTCAAAAGAATTGTAATCACTTCTAAATCTGTTGCTTGCACTTCGGTTCTCCCCCCCCCCCCAAAAAAAATAGTAGAACTGTTTTGATTTCTCTTCTCCTTCAGAAGTTTAATTCCAAGCGAGTGTCCTTGCCAAGAGAACTATAGCAATGTCTGCCATCCCTAGATGACCATCATCCAACCCTAGGCAGAAAATCAGATCTACTTATATGCTCATAAATCTGTATCTAGCCAAAAATTCCATAGAGTTTACTGTTTCGGTTACCTGGGCTCCCAAGGTTGCAAACACTGGCTAGTATTTAGTAATGCCACTACAAATTTGTAACCTAGAGTTATGGATCCATAACTGTTTTGCATTCACTAATCCAATCACAGCCCACCTTAATAGCCAGAATACCTTCATCCACCTTAAGAGCCAACTGCTAGATTGGGCAAAAGATGTTTGTTCACTGGTGATAAGGAGGAGAATGTTTGCTCTTCCAGCAGTGAATCTGCAACCATCAGAAGCATGGCCCCTGTTGCAATTCCTTCCTGCAGCTTGGAAGGAAGAAAGGAAGGAGTAGGTTGGATATTTCAACCTCATTGAACCTTGATCAAAAGCTGAATGGACCTCCTTTTCCTGATCTGGCTGCTGGCTCTTAACATGGACTCGAGGTTGGACCAGGAGACCTTGTTTAGTTACATCTCCTAAGTAGCCAATCTACTATTCCCACAAATACTATTATTTAGCTCACAGATGAGCATCAGCATTCCCCTATGATAATATCTTAAACTCTGGACTTTGAGGAAATAAATATATCATGAGAATAAACATGCAACATAATATATTTATTATGTAAAGGAGGTTACACAGTTACATTTTCCTTGTGGCTGTTCATTATATCCCATAGACATTCCCAGTCTAGGTGCAGTCTCTTTTATAGATACCACAGCCTCAAGGAAAGGCAATGGCAAACCTCCTCTGAACAAATCATGCCAAGAAAACCCCTTGACAGGGTAGGGATCCTATGGTAGGAAATGACTTGAAGGCACACAACAACAGTCTTATAAGCATGGACTCAAGAACCCGAGGAGTGGGGGTATCAAGTCTCCTCAGGATGAGGTAAGAGGAGCTGAACCTCCTCACATGATTTGGCAAAACTGGAATATCCCTGCCATTAGTATGTACTGAATGATCAGATACAAAGAAATAATAAGACAGATCTGGTTGGGAGCCCTCCTAGAAATAATAATAAAAAAGGCTACTTCCAATATCTCCTGTGCACAAATACTTGGGAATAAGTACTGAACACACAAAATAACTTCTAAGTACTTGCTTGCAAGATGCTTTATATTTAAGAATGTTTCAATGATAATGGATGGGAAGAATATTTTATCCTTCCTTTGCAAGCTCCTCCAAGGAGTAAAAAAAAAAAAAATACAAACCACCTGCCAATTTGAGTGCTCCTCCAGCTTAAAATAGTTCTTGGGTTCCTGCTTACAGCAACATATCTCATACTTACAAGAGACATTGTACTTGTACTGCAATTCACTGTTAAGGAACATAATCATATACAATATTTGTAATAAAGGAGGCATCAGAGATCTCACATTTCACCTACTGAGGAATTTTCTTTCTCATATAGAGTATTTATGTACACTTCATTATTGGTAGTATTTCTGATACACTGCACTGCTACATAAATGTTTCAAAGAATATTTCTAATTCTGTCTATGAACTGGCATTTTTGAACTGTTCCCAGGCATTCTAGAGATTGCACCAGCATAGAAGCAATGTCTTTGGGATCAGTTGCCTGGGCTTACTGGCCCCTGACTAGTGTAGTGTGACAGCCTTTTTTTTTTTTTTTTTTTTTTTTGCCATTACTGGCATTTGCTTATCTGCTTTTCAACTATCTGAGAATCTTGCTTCTCAAGCAAGACTGTTTTGGAAAACCCAAATGTCAAATCTGGCATCATGCCCAGGCTTCCCATTATTCATATATGGTATTTCCTCCATAATAAAACATGTCCAGCTGCATTCCCCACAAGTGTCCTGATTTGGCAGGGACAGTCCTGATTAATTCCCTGTCTTCCCATATTTTCAGCTGCATTAAAAATGCTGCAGCTTCTCTCTCCTCCTCCCACAATCTGTTTTTATCCTGTATTAACTTCAGTTGCTGCAAACAGTCTGAAGTGCAAAAGTAGTTTGCTTTCAAATAACTCAGGAACAGGAAGAGGGAAAGGCAGAAACATGTCCTTCTCAGTAGGATCAGGCAAATGTAAATTGTTGAAGCCTCTCTTGGTTTGTGTGTTCTTCCTCCTTAATAACATTTGCCATCTTGGCCACCCTCTGTGGTTGCTTAGGTATATATGTCACAGTTTTCATCTGTGAAATGTTGGAGGGTATATTTAACTGTAGAGACCCAGTATGGTGTAGTGGTTTGAGCATTGGACTATGACTCTGGAGATGAGGGTCCAATTCCTGCTTGGCCATGAAGCCCAATGGGTGATCTTGGGTAAGTCATATGCTCTCAGCCTCAGGGGAAGGCAATGGCAAACCTCCTCTGAACAAATCATGCCAAGAACACATGATAGGATTTCCTTAGGGCCACCTTAAGTTAGAAGGGATTTGAAGGCATACAACACACACACACACACACAGAGGGAGAGAGAGAAAAACTCTGGGACTCAGCTGGTTGGCAAAATGACAACATTTTCATATATTTATGAATGGGTTCTTTTGGAGAAGCTAACTTTGGAGGGAAGCAGACGAGGGCGTCCGGGACGCCCTGGGACGGAGCGCTGTGGGACCACAGCATCCGCACCTAGGCGCACCGTCAGCGCCTCTGAAAGGAGCGCTAAATCAGCGCTCCTTTCACAAGTTAGTGAAAGTGCGACCTAAAAGCATAGGGCGCACTTTCACTGACTTATCCGCCGCAGCGTGTGCAGACGCTGCGGCGGGAGGTTGCCCTCGGAGCGCCAGCCGTGCGGAGGGCCGGCAGCTCCGAGGGCAACCTCGGGAGGAGGAAGGGGTGCCAATCGTGCGGCTGCCCCTCCTCTTCCTTGCCTTGGAGACAACTCTATTAGTCATCTGCCGAGGCCCTTTGTTAGACCTTAATCTCTCTATGACATGTTAACTGTTGTCAAGCTAACTTTGACATATGTCATCCCGAAGAATGAAAAAACTCCAGATCACCCTGTCATCAACAGCCCTGAAGTAGCAGAAGCAGGAAGCAGCTCAATTGCCATCCCTTGTGTTCTGCTGCCTGAGGTAACCCCTTCATCTGGACTCAGGGCAGAGTCATCCCAGGTAGAAACGAGCCATGTGCTTTTAGTATTTTATTTGGAATCTTAAGTTATTTTGGGACTTAAGGACACTGTTAAGCCCTTGTTTGATAATGGGGTTTCGGGTCCTAATGTTGTCACATTTCGATTACCCAGATTATAACAAATTTGAAAAACTGTACCATTCAGTTGGAGACCTGAAAGGGGCTAAAGAAGGGGGGTGAGAGAGAAAGGGACACGGTGGCTCAAGTGGTTAAGACACTGACACTGTTGATGGCAAGATTGACAGGCTGGACATGCAAGGGCCAGGTGCCATGTGATGGGGTGAGCTCCCATCACTAGTCCCAGCTTCTGCCAACCTAGCAGTTCAAAAGCATGCAAATGCAAGTAGATAAATAGGTACCACTTCTTATGGGAAGGTAAACAGCATTCTGTGCAATCATGCTAGCCACATGATCACAGAGTAGTCTTTGACAATGCTGGCTCTTTGGCTTAGTGATGGAGATGAGCAATGCCTCCTATGGCCAGACACGACTTGACAACCTTGTCAATGGGGAAAACCTTTACCTTTTTAATGAGAGAGAGGGAGAAAAAAAGAAAGGAAAGGAAAACAAAACAAAACAAAACAAAGGGGTGCTTTAAATTAAGGCTGTCATGCTATGCACTCCCCTGGGGAAATAGCTAGGAGGAAAAAAATAACCAGAGCATGGCCACTGGGAATCTTGGGGCTGCAGTCCAAAAAACATTTTCTCTGCCCCCCTCCCCAAGCTTTTGAGAGAATGTAGAATGCCAGACAGATGTGTTTTGGAGAGTCAGACATCTGTGGCTGAGACTAGAAATTGTTCTTGGAAAGGGCTACAGAATACTGTTATCAAAGAAACCCGAAACAACCCATTACTTTTACTTCAGTGTGCAACTCTCTGAGTTGCCTGTGTGAGCTCTTATGCATAAAGTCACAATATTTTCACTGTTATTCTGAAGTTTTAGCTACTCGCCATGCATGGGTTTCTTTAGCAGATTTTTTTTTTTTAAATGCATCTTGCCGTTGGGGTATTTGTGAGCTATAATGCAGTGAAATATAAATGACATACTCTGGTTATCAGTTCACCCTATTTGTGAAATATTGACTGGGATCAGGAAATAAATGCACTTATTTATTAATTAAAATATTTTTATCCCACCTTTTTATCATGAATTCTCAGAATAGCAAACAATGCAATATAAACAATTTAAAGAAATTAAAATCACTGAATAATTTAAACAAGAGAAAAATATATCAAAACAATTTAAAGACTAAAAAAGGTTAAAACTACAGATGTGCTTTAAAGTAAATTATACTTCAAAGGTTTTAAAAGTCATGTCT